TTAACGACCACAGCCGACTTAGGCAGAATGTCAATAACTATAAACACTTTGGAGCGGTTTTACAAAACCAAACTGCTTGCTCCATCGCCCGCTGTTCTTTATATCTCCCCTCTTGCCCTTTTGCGTAATAAATCTTCCTTTCATTTATTCATATTTTAATGATAACAATAACTGCAATTTTACTTTAAAGTGCTCTGTGAGTATGTCAAGTTTGAAATTTTGTGGGTTAATAATTTTTAAATAAAATATTTAATTTTGTAACAAGATCTTACCGTTTTCGGTCAAACATTGCTGCCATTACTGATTCCAATTAATTTTTGCATGCCGTTTTTTTATTTTTCTAATATTGTTTGCTTCCAAAGTTTTTGTGGACATTTGCAGCATTTGTTGCGACACATTTAGCACACATGTGTTGCTAAACCTGCTGTCAGATATAAACAGTTAACTTGGTTAGCTTCGTAATATTTGGGCTTAACTTTTATACAAATAAAGTCTTGGAGGTCCACTAATTTTTAATGGCTTTTACAGTTATAAATACTCATTTATTGTGAGAGCTATGTTGAAAGATTACTTTTTGTAGCTTGTTTATGTTTCTAAAAATGTAGAAGAATTTGCACTCGTATGAGAATAATGGAAAAAAATTAGACATTTGGGTTTATGAAGACGGTGGTACAAGTAATAAATGGTTACTACAAACCTCAAATAATTATCTAACTTTTTTGTCTTCAAAGCAAAAATCCATATTTGTTGTCTTTTTTACGAGGGTGATATAATTTTTCTTTCCCAAATTCGGGAATGGAAGCAGGGAATCAAAAAGGCCTACTTTGTTTCTCCTTCTCCCTGTTGCTAACACTACGCAAATCTTACCACCCACAATTTGGTTGTAATGAAAATACAAATTTATTTTGGAAATTATACCCACACAGAACAAAATCCTTTTTAAATCCGTATGTAAAAAAAGGAAAACCTCCATCAAAAAAAGATCACAACACACTAAAAGAAAATCGACGCATATACCCGTATATTGTTCACAATGGCGTCACAACGTATGGCGGGAAAGTGTTGGGGGACGCTCTGGTGTGCACGTGCGATATCTAGAGAAGTAGTTTTTGGCTGTATTATTAGGTTGCCGAGGTTTGTGTTTATTATCACATTTGTTATTTACAATGAATTTTGCTCTTTTTCCGGTTGTTTAGGTTCGGGCTGCGCATCTCGTTTACAATTTTTTGTTGATAAATCCTATTTATTTGCAATTTATCTCTACAGAAATATTAGGCAAATGGTTTAATAATAATATTTACTTGAATGGAAATATCACTCATCAGTAGCATTACTGTTGAAATAAATCGGTACGTTATATTTAGCGGTTTATGGCGCTGTAATATTTTTGTTTCTTTATTATTGTCTAATAGATTAATAGCTAGATGATGTGGATGATTTTCCAGACTCACGGCGATATTGCTTCTTCGATGATCTTAATTTGAAGGTCGTTTGAAGTACTTCATTGCTGACATAACAGGGTGCGTTTGTTGCTGATCGAAGATATTTGAACAGGAACCGCTGAAGAATTTTGGTGTTGGAGACGCTGGTTGAGCCCCTAAGTCGAATGTTGTAGGTACATACGGGTTGTAGGCTACTTATATATATATATATAATATATATATATATAATATATATAAAATATATATAATATATATAATATATAATATTGAAACGAAGAACGTTCGGCATAAGAAACAATAAAAAATTTCATTACTTAATTCTAATTAAAAAGAAAGCACTAAATCGATCAAGACGTAGTAACGCCGCCGCCGCCACCCGCTGCCACCAACCGGTCAAATCGGGGCGTAAGACGGGCGCGGCTGTGACGGTTGGGGAGTAATAGCAGAGGGCCGCGAGCGCAACTCCGGACGGCGCTGTGCTTGCCCATAGCAAGTTTATAGTGATATTACCAACAGTGTGGAAATTGATTGTAAACCATTAAGCGGGAGATTAAGAGCGTGATAAAAATGATTAATCAGGTGATTAAGGAGAAATTTGGAAGCTGCGCACCAGCAGGACCGGATCAGTGAAAAACATTAAATACTGTGAGTTTGAGTGGCCGACAGACACGCGTTCCAATGTCGCCCTTGTGCGTGTGAATGCAGCAGGGCGCGCACCGTGCGAACATTCGAGTGGGATTGAGAAGAACTGGCTGTAATCGGAACTGCCGACGGGACGCAATTGCGCGGGTGTTTGGTGCTGTTTAGTAATGTGGACATTGCTTGTACTGGCTGGGGGGTGGCACCCCGGCGAGCTCGATTGGCCATTGCGTCGGGGGGCTAGCCCCGCCTGAGTCGACCGCCGAGGGAGAGCATTTCCCGCGACAAACTTCGGCGGAAACCGAAGTTTGCCCGACACGCCGCCGCGCGTTGCCACAGTACGGCCCGCTCGGCCTCCAGGCCAGCCGGTGGTCATTCGAAACGCTCAAGGTAGCGGTTACTTGTTGCCCGAATTCACTAAAGGCCTTGCGCAGCTTGCGTATTGTAAGAATTTTTGTACATAGTGTTTCAATCATTAAACTTTTAATTGCACCAAAAGAGTTCTTTCATCATCTTTCCAATGCAGCTTCAAAACCTCCTGGAAGCCCATTCACGAGAATGTACCCGTCCTTTATATCATTTTATTTGTCGTGAGAGTACCGTTTCCCAGGTACGTCACCAATATATATAAGTATACAGTTTTTAAATTTTAGTTCTTTCTTTTTTATATGGACCACCACGCTAATCTTCTATCCAATATGAACACCTAAGTATTTAACTCATTACTTTGAGAGATCTGTTTGTTGTTAATTATACTAGGCTGTCCGCGGTGACCGCCGCCCCGTCTCATGCGAACGGGTAACCGACGTTTCGCGCCATTCCGCGACCTTCCTCAGGGCATAATTGGCTTACGCCATGGACGCGTGCGTCCAACGCGGACAGCTGGTAAATACTGACTCCGGTCCGCGGAACGTCTGAGCGCTCCCAGCCTTTTATTGTTTATTGCTTGGACAGTCGCCTTTTCTTTAGACGGCGGAAGGTCACATGTTTATATTTTAGTTCGTTAATTTTAAATGTGGCCAAGCGAGCAAACCACTGCGTTTATTTTTTTTTGTCCGTTCTAGTGACATTTATACGGCACTGCGTTTAAAATATTAACTTGTTATCCCAATGAATGTTAATTTTTTTTTTTAATTCTCTCTCTCAATATATTCGATGCAAGGTTTCAATGAAATTTGATGCTATTTCTTGTATCATGGGATAAGAACATTGGCCCTGGCGGCCAAAAGTATCATATGGAAAATAGCTGACTAACCTGTTGGCAGGAACGATACACCAGTTGATTTGACTGAGCATTATTACATAAGTGAGCTTTAGTTAAACACAAAAACGCTAGAAGATCCGACATTATCTAGCAGCTCAATACACGTATGCACACGTTTCCAGGGCAATACATTTTAATGTGAAAGCTATGCTCTTAATAGTGAGTTGTGTTTTTTTTATTCTGGGAAATCTACATACTTGTGTACAGCATACGTTTGGCAGGGTGACACATCTGAGAAAATGGGACAAGAAAGTTTAGATTGTTCAAACTGCGAATTTTCGAAGATGGGTTAGTACCCTGTAAGTGGCCATTAATTGGAGGTGTTATGTTTTACTTCTCTGATTTCTTAAGAATTAGTAGAATCCTAAGAAACGTACTAGTCTCCCCGCCCACTTTTGCTCCAGTCGACTGCCGTAGCATAATTTGGTGATAGTGAAAATACACCTTTTATTTTAAAGAAAAAAAAGTATCTTCACATCACAAAAAACGCTTTTAATCATTGCAGGGCAGCGGGGATCACACCCTCGTACGACCGAATAATCTCGACTTACTAAAAGAAAAATAGACACATATCGTATACTCTTCATACTTATTAGCTCACGGCCATCTAGCATCTGTGACAGTTGCCACCAGAAGCGACGCTGATCGCACTCAAAGAAGCTCTAAAATCACGTTGTTCTTGTCATTATTATTAAGCCTAACAGTGCTCGTTCTAACTATCGTCACCCAGAGCTGGCTGCTTGCCCCACATCCCTTAAAATCAAGCGTTTCTGGATATCTCTCTGGGTAGCTATCCTCTACTAAAGCCTTGCATAGTTAAGTACCAATGATATATATATCACCCGGTGTAAGAAACATCCAAAAACTAATCTTTATATACGTGAGCAGAATAAGAGAAACGGGATCTCACCATCTCGAGATGAAATCCGGCTCAGTGAAATGTATGCTGTGGTCTTTAGCTAACCGTCCTTCCTTAGATAATCATATAGCGTTACAGGAAAAAATATGGAAATTATTAGGATTAAAAATACAATAAAAATCATTGTAGGGCCTAACATTTTATAATATACTACTATATAATATATATATATATATCATATATATACTATATATACGTATATATCATTATTATATATATATATATATCATATATATATATCCTATATATATATACATATACACACACACACCTTCGGGAAGCAATATTTCAGCAGTAGAATGAGAAAAACATCCTTTTCTTAAACATATTTTTCAACTTTGTTTCCGATGCAAAAGAGACTGTGTTGACTGTTGTTTGCACATCTTTTAGTGTTTTCTTAATTAATCCTTTGTTCAATATATTCCTGCAAGCTTTTGCATTCATACAAATTTCATTCTTGTTCTTTACACGAAAAGTGTAGGAAGAATCCTACCATGCGGGTTTTGTAGGCTGAGACATGTCCGATCATTCATCCGGCAGACAGTTTTTTAAAAACTGTATCACTTGTGAAATATACTTTAAAATGACAATATATACTGTACTATTAGTTCCCAGATAACGATCGTAGAGAAAGATGATCATTCGCGATCAATATCTTGGTAAACTGGTATCTAAAGCTTTTAATTATATAACAATTACTAACATTCGATAATCGCTTCGAATGCTTTAAAATAAGAGTACAATACATATTATTATTTTAACCCATAGAAGTTACTGTTTTGAAAATTGTTCTATATTATGAATGTTTCAGTACCTACAGGTTTTCTAGTGGAAGTTGCAAGTGATTGATGAATGACGTACCTGAAGTAAGTAAAGAGAATTCACAATTTTTACCATCGTCCTTGATCCACACGCTGGCTTTGTATCGCTAGATTTTAGGAGATAAAATACCTTCTTCTTAAAAATTCGGGAATACTATTCTTCGTTTACTTGTTACGTTCCATGCAAGAGTGGGGAGAATATTTCGGGACTCGTGACACACCTACGTTGAAAGACGGATGTCATATATCAATATCGCATGACGTTCTCATTGCTGCATTACCTTTTTTTGCTAAATTTTCAAATAAATGCATATACATCACTGACATCCTAGACGTTTCAAACAACATCATTAGAATAAGTGTCTCATGCAACTGTTGGAATTAATATGTGCGTGTTGGCGTGTTTCGGTTGTCTTCCGCTGGTTGGAAGCTCGTTTGTTGAAATGACTGATTCTTTAACAAAAGTGAGTTTTTACTTAACATTATTGTAGTATTTAACCTGAATATCGATAATTCGTGATCACATTTACGCACATATTGCATTTTTTGTAAAGTTCATAATTATCCATTTTTTATCGATTGAAGCAGAAGATGCTATATACAATTTCTACAAGGTTAACTGTCCATTGGTGAGATATTCCGAAATTTCTCATATCTGACATATTTAATATTAGCTGTCAACACATTTAAGAAGTTATGACATGAATTCGTTCAACTGCAAAATAAAATTGACTATGCAAGGGAAATGTTTCCACATGTACGTCATTATTAAATGTTTACGTTTTGTCACACATACACACACACGAACTGATGACACGAAAGGACGGACTGTGCCTTTTAGTTATTGATGTTACCTTGTTTGAGTGCAGACATTTGAGAAGTGCGAATGTTGCCGACATGTGTCATCGCTATTGCTCTGCGACTTTGATTAATCGACCAGAAATTCGTTAGACATTTTCTGTCAGATTACAAGATCATGTCACAGATTGCCATACATTTGACGTTAGGAACGATTGTGTAATTAATATTATGATGTTTTCTGAGTGAATTTACACGTGATATGAAGTGATTGATAAGATTTTAAGAAGGTATTGCAATTGGGGTAGGGATAATTAATTGACACTTACCGTCATAATTTAGAAATTGAGGGTAGTATTTTTTCCTGAAGAATATGATTTCTTTATGACATTTCTGTATATATTAATTAAATGCTACTGAAATAATAAATAATTAGAAATAAATAAAATGAAAAAATAAGTATGAAATATTCTGCTTCCTTAGTCTTCATAAATTATTTTATTTTGAAGTTGTCAAATTGATATATCTGGTTGTTCTATATGCTTCTGTGGTAAATGTTATAATGTGTTGCTAATAAATGTCAGGACAATGTGTAATCAAGTTAGACCACAAATACTAACCAAGTTTTGAAATATTTGCATGATTTTGTAATTTGATCTGCATCACTTTAATTAGAAGTTTTTAAGTAATAATCAACATATTTATACGGGTATTTATTTATTTTTTCTTCACCTATTTCATACTGCTGCAAATTCTATCAAATTATTAGAAGTTACATTATTTCCAATATTATAATGGTTGTGTCAGTATTAAATCAATGAGTGTAGTTTCAGTGATACTTGCACAAAACCACTGATAATTTCGATTTTATTTTTTTGTAAAGCATTGTTTGTATGAACTCGGTTCACCTAATTATTGGTTACTTACCACAACTATTACTTTTTTTTCCAGATTCTGCTACCATATGAATGTGTGGTGGAGTAATTCATGAAAATTGTTAAAGACTGTTGAAAAAATCCGTGAATTATACATATTTTTAAAAATGGTCACACATATCAAAGAGTTTAATATATTTTTACACCAAATTTCTTCTCTAGTCACAATTGCTGCTCCACAGCTTTCTATCATTTGTTAGACATATTTACAACGTATAGTTTCCTCAGGTTGTATGTGATTTGGTTATGTACATTTTCTTGGGCCAACATATTTGTATGTGAGTAATAATTTTTGAAATCACATTTTCTCCTGTTATTATATGTCCTGTGTGTTATTGGTTTGCAAATAATGTATTGATGTTCTGTTCCTAATTTTAAAATTATTCAAGATAGCAAGTTTATTAAGGATATCCAACCAGTAATATAGTCAAGACAGAACATATTTTTTTGCTTTTGAATTGCTCATTGTAAGTCTGATTGGCTACTGCTGGAATATTGCTGAAGCTGCCTTCTCGTGCCATGAGCAAAAGCCATGTAAGTATTTTTCATTTGATCAACTAATTTCAAAGCTGTAATATTTTAAAATATTTAAATAAATCATCAAATATGTCAACAATTTATAGTGGTGGTATTAACAAATTTCTGTTGTATTCCAGTTACGCAGTGGAAATAATAATATTAGTGCCAGTGCTGAAGCTGTGGAATCTAGTGTTGTTTTGAGTAATATTGCTACAAATATATCGTGTTCAGGATCATTGAATAAAAGTGATGGTAGTGGAGCCACCCAGAAAAGAGGACGGCCTTCAACAAATAGTGAAAAGAAGGCTGCAAATGATACAACTTCTAGCCCAACTCGAAAGCGAAATATTGGGAGCACTGTTCGCAGTTTATTCCAGTCCAAGAGTAAAGATAGGTATGCTATCAATTTTATTTTGCTAACAGTACTTCAGTTTTAGCAGCAGGTGTCCTATGATTTTTTTTAATTTTTTTTTTTTTTTTTGTATGTTCAAAATTTTCTTAAAGAAAACATTTTTTTGTGATTGTTGACTGGTTTTATTATTATGTAGTAGGTGTAGATTGTTTAAATTGGGACAATGGAAACCTCTTCTTTCCTGTGTCTGTAATAGTATTCTCTTGAGTGTAGCTCATCTGTTGAGCTGGAATATGTTAAATAAGAACTGTGGACTATTACTGGAGATTTTCATTGAAATACTTATAATATTGAGTGTTGAAAAAAATTGTTTGTCTGGGCTTTGTATATATTTTTTAATCGTGAATTTTTATCTACTGTATTTTTATGTAGCTGGGTCATTGATATCTTATTTTTCCCCCCCTATTGATAATGTGAAAATTATGTTGAGTTATTGAGTTAAGTTTTAGGTGTTATTTCAGAAATTAACTTATGTTTTTTCCTTACAATTACTAATGTACGTTTTCATTAATTGATTCTAAGATAAAATGTCCAATAAACAATTTTATTGATGCAATTGTTCTTTCCGTGGGTTGATGTTTCTGGAGCCTAAATGATAAATGATAGATGAATTCTAGTGCTTCAGGATTAATCTTGAAGAGAATTTTTTCCAAATATGATCTTAAACATAATGAGATCCATTAATAAATTGATTTGCGTTCATATATTGGCCATTTATAGAAAGGTTAGTACTGAAAGTTTTGAAAATCCGCAAATAATGTGATCAAAATAAAAGTAGTTACTGTTGCAATCTTTGAAATCAGTGAAATAGAAGGTTCCATTTGTTTGGTAACGTACTTTTGTAAGCAAAAATTGCAGATAATAGACTGCTAACTAGTGTCTTGATGAACATACTAATTACATGTATTTGTGTTAAAGTGAATTAAAAATAATTTTTAAATATTAAAGAGAGGAAACCCTCCTTAGCACGAACTTGCTTAATTTGAATTTCGCCTTGACCCATTAAAAACTTTGGTCTTGGCAAGGGATTGTGGTAATGTGGCAATTTATAATACTGGGATAACACAAATTTTTATAACACAAACTGATTATTTATGTCCCTTGGAATTGTCCATTGTGTAAATGAGGGGTTACTGTAAATGAGGGCTCGTTTTTGTAATTTTAGAATGTAGCCAAGGGACATGCTGTGAACTTTAGATTGACTGTTTTGTAATAGATGGCGTGTATTTTGTTTATGTTTTACAAACTGGATGTTCTATTGAAAGTCTTTACGCGAGGAGGGTGACAATCATTGTTTGTTATGAACATTTAATTAAACACTCTTATTAATTTTTTAGACTGAATTTGTGCTTCGTAAAGAAAGTGGGTAAAGTTAATGCATTTTAGTATTTGAGAATTAAATATTTATTGCACTTCAGTGTTATTTTCATGATATAAATAGGAATTAAAATCATACTGAATTGTCTGACTGCTAATTGTTGAATAGCTTTGAAGTGTAATTTTTAATATATTTTGGTTAATTTCTGTATTGACTACATCCTAATCAAAGTCAATATGTTTTGAAATTAATAAAATATGATATGGGAAATTTTTTACTTTCTCATTTGGAAACATTGGCGCTTGTGATGTGATGTTCAATCGGAGGTCTGTAACAGAATATGAGCCACTGATTGATAAGTATAATCAAATCTTCATGATTACAAAAAAAAAAACAACTTGATAATTGTTTTCTGCTAAAGATCTTATAGAACATTTAAAAAAAAAAAAAAAAATACAAATTAGTTCCTCTTCTTTTCTATCCGTTGTTCATCTCTAGAATCAGGGGCGAAGCTAGGTGGTAGCTTGGTAAAACTGGTGCACTACACCTGCCCTCGAAGTATGGGACCCTGAATAACAACCCCTCCTGGATGGATATCAGTAGGGAATGAAAAATATTGCAGTTAATTCTTATTTTCTTAATTGCACTAGCCAAGGCATTTTCTTTAACCAATTAGATTTAAAATTTTTAATTTGATATTTATTGAGGGCCTTATTTTGACTTTCTGCACTGGGGCATCTGAGAAATGTATTCACAATGATATAATATCTTGGAAGAAAATCCTTCCTGCAATACACTCTGGAGAAATGTAATGTCCAGTTCAAAAACACTCAACATTCTCTATCATACAATAATGGAAATAAGAATCTCAGGTACTCAGATATGGAAACGTCTTTAATGTTGAAAATATAGTTTTTTTATCAAAATATTAGTGTACAAAATTGTTGTTTTGAATACATTTATGTGCAATTCTTTGTGTTCTGATTATGTATGATATAGAAAAAAACATGTTGGGGTTGAACCAACAATTTACTTATAAGAGGTTGATGAACGAAAAAGTTCAAAATCACTGCACAATAATCAAAACATAGATGAAAACATCATGCAGCAGTTACAATAAATTTCAAACTCAATTTTTTAATATTTTATTACAATTCAATGCATAAATTAATTTTGGCAAACACATTTTATTTATTTACTTATATCATTTTTTTCAAATTTATAATCCATTATTATTCACGAATCAGTTATTTTACAAATGTGTTTCTGAATAATTGGAAAGACTTCATTGTTTTTTAAATTGAATTTTCATTACACTGAAATATTTATATTTGTGTAATTATTGTAATCCATGGTTTAAATATACAGTACAAGGTTTAAATATAGTCCTCTAATTGGCCGATTGCTTGGGTATTGTTCACGTCAATATTTTTGTGAAGCTTGTACACTCTTTTTAAATCCTCTTGTGATTCGTTACTGTGTTTAGATTTTTGCATCCTATTTCTTGCTTCTACCTACTCCCATAGCCACGTGAGTGTACTAAGTGCCTTGGGCCTAGCATATTATGGTGTGAGAATATGTACTAGTATAGCTGGTTAGCTGTGTTGATACAGTCAATATTTCTTATTAATTGAAACAATGAATATGTTAATAATTTTTACTATTTCATTGCACAGCAGCTATGCTAAATAATATTTTGTGTAGAAATGTTATACCTTTATGTTTTATTGTGTTCATAATCATCGTTGACATTATCATGTCCACTATCTACCTTGAAAGTTTGCTATTCTAGGCCAAATTGAAACTTACTTATTTATCTAGCATTGCCTCCTCTTTCTGTCAATTTGAATTTCAATAATCCATGTTCTGATTACAGCGGTGTTTATTTTTATTTTATTGTGTTTTAAGCTTTGTAGAAAAATGACATTACTGCACTTAGAGGTCTGTTTCTGTTTTTTGAAAGGGAAATTTGCAGAAATTGCTTAATTTTTTTGTAAGAGCAGCTTGTAGGCTTCAATGTTCAGTTCATACCTTGCAACCTTACCTTCCTTTTTGTTTACTTTTTCCTTGATGGAACCAGGTAAATTCATAAACTTCATCAGCGAATCTTGATTGTATGTTGTTGCTGAAGTGTATTTGTGCAAGAGGAGTGGCCAGAAAATTATAGAATTTAGAAAATTGTTTTCTATACAGTTTAAAACGTAGATTGCAATGGGCAACGGAATTACTGTTATTGAGCATCTAAATAGGAAGCCTTTCAGTAGAAATTGGCAAATAGAACTTTTCACTGAATATAAGATTTATTATGACATTAGCTGAAGCTCTACGAAAATTTCACATACTGTTTTGCTTCTTTAACAGCCACCAATGTGCTTGTTCACTTAATTCATTGACCAACAAATTTAGTGAATTGTCCTATCTCGTAAAGTATTTCCTCAAATTGGCTTATGAAATAGAGAATGTAGGTTTCTGTGACCAGAACGCCAAAAATTCAACCACCAGATAGTTCAATAGTTTATATACTATTGTATCTCTAAAATAATACATGTCTTTATTTTTTGGAAATCCAGAGAAACTGACCCTTATGAAAAATAAGTATATTGTATAAGAGCTTCAGGTAAATTAAAGAGGAAAAGATCCATGTCAAATTCAAGGAGCTGCGACACCTTAATCAAGTGCGGAAGTTTCATTTTCCTTTTACCGAAAAGCTGCACATGGCCCTACCTAGCAGCTTAGATGGTGTGAATCTCCATACAAGCAGAGAAGTCGTGTAACTACCTTGTGGGGAATCCAAGGGGCAGAGGGAGGACATGCCCCCCCAAGTCATCTTCTTCGTCGTCATCGTCATCTTCGCCGTCGTCATCTTCGCCGTCGTCATCTTCGCCGTCGTCATCTTCGCCGTCGTCAT